AGAGAGGGAGAGAGCTGGGGGTTGTGTCAGAGATGCTAAAGTGCGCAGGAGTTGAGACTTAGGTTTGTGGCTCGTTGCCTAGTCCCGTGGGGTGCGCGTGGATGCACATTCCAGACGTGATGGGCTAACATAATGGGCCAGATCAATTATTTTTTAGGCCTGATTGTCTGGGCCAACAAGGGCAGAACAAAGCATTGCTGGTATATGCATGCATGCAATACCCATATTTTGACAACGAACTTTGTTCCTGCGGCCCAAAAGGTAAAATTTGGCCCAATAAAAGAAAAAAAAACCTAAGTAGGTGACCCTTTATATTGTTAGACACGAGAGAGATGGCACGTCCCTTCTTTATGCACATTCATATACATAGACAGACACAAAGATGTACATTCCGATCAATCTACGGTTCTTTAAGTAAATTCATTGTAGGTTCTCTTACTCGCTTTAACAGTTAGTAAAAGACCAAACGAGAGGATAGAACGAATGACTGAATAATCAAATAGTTCTGAGTAGACTTGTGAAACTGTAGTTTGAATTTTAAAGTACCATTCAAGTGGATTCTCCAAATATATGCAAATATCTAGCTATATTGGCCTATTTTGAGGAAATTAATAATTCCGGAACATCCCTAAAATTTAAGATGAATGCAACAATAAAAAATTTAAAATAAGTTTCAAAATTTGGGACCAAAAATCTTACACCAAATAGNGACTTTACAAATCCGACTGCAAATGTCATCCCAGGTTGTCGACTAGAGAAAACAGAACCGTACTTCTGTTTTGCTAACGGATCATGCTGTTTGCACCATTGTCTATACATCCTTTCAAGTTGTTGAACAGTCAGTCAGCCTAGGTGATTTGCTCCAAGGCAGCGCAAGGTACACCATGCATGAGCTGATCTAGGCAATATGTTCTCGGTTTTTTAATACTGATGCGAGAGACAGGGAGGATTCAAAATCGGATACCGAGGGCAACAATTTAAATTCCTGGTATGGAATTCATTCTGCTGCCGATATTTTTCATTTCTGAATGTGGCTCAGGTTGTGGAGACAGAAAGAATTGATAGCTCAAACTGCTGATGAAGACGTTCAGAGTTTTGTCTTGGTCTTTCATCAATTCTGCAACAGAATTGAGTGGTGACAGTGTAGGAAAGGGGAAGCACCTGAAGCCATTGAGGATGATTCAAGATGACTCATTTCAGCATTTAATAGATATGTATTTAAAGAGACAGGGAAGTTGGTTTGCAAGCAGGCATTTCCAGATGGTGGACCTTTGACAAGTTTACGTGTCCCAGGCTTTCAAGGTCTGGTAATCATAAATTCACAACCTTGCTGAAAATGTCGAGAAGGAAGATGGTTCAAGCCCTTGCGGACCATATACAGTCGAAGTTTCTAAGTATAGACCTTTCTGGGAAGAGAATTCTAAAGATAATGATGATTTTGAGATTTGGGTAGATTTTGTGACACTGAGGAAGGCTCAGAAAGGAAAAATATTGATTGCTGGCAATCATTTTAATGAAGGCGAAGACAAAGGCCAAACCCAAACCAAAAGAAACAAGACAGCAAACTGTGTTTAACATGGGTGTCAAATGTCATTTAGATGTGTCAATTCAACACAAATAGATGCTTCTCAAATCCAGTTTCTGCATCCTCTGAGTACCGCATTCAGCTGTACATACACCGGCGAGCACCCAGAAATTTTTATGCAGGATGTGCAATATCAGAAATCTGTGAGTTGTTAAGCAAAACAGAATAATGCAGAATCAAGTAGAAGCAGTAAAATTCTATGATTCATTACCTTTCTGAGCAAACACAATCTAGTACACAATACAAGCATACCAAAATAAGAACAAGAAAAACACCAAATCAATTAATGTGATATGTTGAAAACATAGTTCAAATACAGGCTTACAGAGTACCTACATTACCCACAGATATCCTCTGAAGAAACATCTGTCTCATCATCAACCCCTTGCCTTATTTTCGCAATCTCAGCCTGTACTCTCTCGAGAGTCTGCTGCTTCTGCAATTCCAACTCCCTCTGAAAATCCACCCTCATCTTCTCTAACTCCATTATCTGCTTCCTCTTATTAGTCTCTATCTTCTCATATATCTCCCCAAACTTCTGAATTGAATCCGCCAATATGCTGAACGACTCAGATCCATCACCCTCCAAGTCTCCAACCCCCTTAACCTCATTCTCCTCCTCTTCCTCATCCTCCTCATCTTCGGATTCCACCGGACTATCCCTCATTTCATCAAACACATTCGACCTATTCAAATACACACTCGAATCCATAAACACGTACTCGCCCGAATCGAACCCACAAGCCAACCCACATTGCTGTTTCTCCTTCCTCGAATTCAATAACATGTCCATCTTCTTAAAGAACACCCATTTGCTCACATACCCGCTTCTCATTTCCTCCATTTTCGCCCTCTCTTTGTTATACTTGTTCTTCAAAACACCCAATCTATTCCTACACTCTATCTCACTCCTACCAATTTGTGTCCCCTGCGATACATTCTTGGCCACCTCCTCCCAATCTTCAGACCTTAAACTCATCCTCCCCAATTGCATAAACCTATCGCCCCACACCTCTAACAACACTAAGGTTTCATGTTCACTCCAATCCTCCCGCGAATTCCGAACAAAAAATTGATTTCTCGGTAAATTTGCAGCGGCACGAGGGGCAAACTCGTAATTGGAGACTAAACTCTCTATTCTTCGCTTCTTTTTTCGCTCCTCGGACTCATAATACCCATTTTGATAGTCTACTTCTTCAGATGCGGGGGTTTCCCCATCGGATTCTTCATTCAACTCATCGTCCTCATCGTAGTCCATGTTATTGTCGTAATTTTTGCCAAAATCAGGGTTAATTGGATAAGAGGGGTGGTTTCGAATTGAGGGTTTTGAGTTGTGGTGGTTTATCGAGTGATGTTTTGGTGGATACCTAGCGTCGACTTGAATGTCGTCCATTTGCGTGTGCCTGTGGAAGAAGAGGTAGAAGAAGGCAAAAACCCTAATTGTTAGAAGATAAAGGTAGACTAGCGTGACATATTTGTTCTGACAAAGCACAATAGGGCTGATTTTGGCGAAATTGACGTCGAAAACCCTAGTTTCAGGGTTCCAGCGTTGGCTATGAGAGAGACTGGTGAAGAAAATGGAACTTTAGCGCAGAGAGAGAGAGAGGGAGAGAGCTGGGGGTTGTGTCAGAGATGCTAAAGTGCGCAGGAGTTGAGACTTAGGTTTGTGGCTCGTTGCCTAGTCCCGTGGGGTGCGCGTGGATGCACATTCCAGACGTGATGGGCTAACATAATGGGCCAGATCAATTATTTTTTAGGCCTGATTGTCTGGGCCAACAAGGGCAGAACAAAGCATTGCTGGTATATGCATGCATGCAATACCCATATTTTGACAACGAACTTTGTTCCTGCGGCCCAAAAGGTAAAATTTGGCCCAATAAAAGAAAAAAAAACCTAAGTAGGTGACCCTTTATATTGTTAGACACGAGAGAGATGGCACGTCCCTTCTTTATGCACATTCATATACATAGACAGACACAAAGATGTACATTCCGATCAATCTACGGTTCTTTAAGTAAATTCATTGTAGGTTCTCTTACTCGCTTTAACAGTTAGTAAAAGACCAAACAAGAGGATAGAACGAATGACTGAATAATCAAATAGTTCTGAGTAGACTTGTGAAACTGTAGTTTGAATTTTAAAGTACCATTCAAGTGGATTCTCCAAATATATGCAAATATCTAGCTATATTGGCCTATTTTGAGGAAATTAATAATTCCAGAACATCCCTAAAATTTAAGATGAATGCAACGATAAAAAATTTAAAATAAGTTTCAAAATTTGGGACCAAAAATCTTACACCAAATAGAAATATTAGCACCGCATCATTAAAAGCACCTTCTCTTGCACTCTTTTTCCAGGAAAGAAGGGTGAGCACCCCCATGTGAAAAATGAGTGTGTTTCTTTTTTGACAGAATTAGTTATTTGATCCATTAATGGTGTCACTGCTTTGCACAGGAGTGTTTGGTTGGCCCCATTTGCAAACTATGTCATGTGCTCAAACTACAATGGGACACACATAAAGGTGAAATGTTGTAGCAATACCTAAATAATTCAAAGTGAAGTCACCAGACCTCAGTGGGATGAATATATCTTCAAAATCTATTGATTCAGGTCTTCATTGCCTCCAAACCAAAATGTTTTTACCTTTCAACCAGCCAGCGTCAAATTTGAACCCCTCTTTCTTTCTCTCTCTCTCTCTCTCTCTCTCTCTCTCTCTCTCTCTCTCTCTCTCGCGTAGCGATAACAGAAACAAAAGAAAAAAAAAACACTTTTTTTTAAGGTGATCAAGAACACATTACCATAAATCACAAGACAAAAGAAGAGAATGATGAAAAACAGAAAATTGGGAACTTTCCCGAGAAAATGAAAATATATATCGCGTGAAGTTTATGACAGTTGACGAAATTTAAATGTGAATTTTCTAGAACAAGTTATAAATTTACTAAATCTTTCTATAATTGCAACAGTATATATATATATTTGAAAGCCTAAACGAAAGAATTTACATAAAAAACAGCTTAGATCATGACATATTAGTGAGTTTGTTCTTTAAATAGATTCAGATCAAAAGGTGTTAGTCCCACCTATACTATTACTTTTGTCATTTTCCGTTGCACTTTGCATGCGATATGGTCCTCTTGATTCAAGAAATTTGCAGAAGAAAAAACTATAAAATTTGATCCAATTTATCGTAATCAATTAGTTAACATGCCGGTTGATCGTATTCTGAAACATGAAAAAAAAATATTCACTTTTCAAATTGTCTATTGAACCGTGAAAAGGATTCAACAAAAGATATAAACAAATCCACTATCTATTTTACGTCAAGCAATACGTGAAGTAACTCCCGATATAGCAAAAATAAAGAAAGGAAGGTTGACAAAAAAATCTTGTACATCACACACACACACTCTCTCTCTCTCTCTCTCTCTCTCTCTCTCTCTCTCTACGGGTGTGTGTGTGTAAAACTTCAATATATAGAAAAAAAACTAACAATACTTTTTCATTCAGAGTTTAGAAGGGACCATTAGGGAGATTCATAGGAACTGTCCACCTCTGTGGGTTCATGGAACTTGTGTATGAATTATGAACTGGGCTTTGGAAGTTGGTTGGTAAGGTTTCAAATCTTCCATGTCATAAGTATTAGTATAGAATCGATATCTCCATTCCCTTAATAAGGTAATGGATTCCACATGGATTTCCATATACAGCCCACACCTGAGGAATTCTCAGTATTGGGTGCATTGCCTGGTCTTTTTCGGCTGACACCAAATTTGACTTGCAACAGTAGTACTCAATTACTTGTAGTCTATAACGTAGTAGGATCAAAAGATTTGCTGAGAAGGGTTTGAACAATAAAAAATTGTATTTCATCAGCAAGGTGGCTTGACTTTAGAAGGAAAAATAAAAAAGGAAATTATTAGTGGGGGAGAATTTTTTATGAATTGTGATTTACTTTTTTAGTGATTAAAGCTCTATTTATTTGATATTTTATGGTCGAAATGACTCATACCCCATACATGTGTGTGCATATGAGTGTGCATGTGCGCGCACACATAAGAGGTGACGGTTGCTTTAAGATATCACAAGGTTTTATGCTAGAACAAACGAGAAGAATAGCATCAAATTTGATTTTACAATTGTAGGAAGGGGTGGAATTGTGGTATATATGAGGTAAGTTATTAACTCACCCTTAAAGGCTGTGAGATCGTAATATTCTATTACGCATTCTTAGTCAACTCCTACAACAATCTACTCTATCGGCACGAACTCAATGGTAGTTATTTTCTTTTGACGGCTCCACTCATCTATTAGTATTCAATGATTTACTATTATGCACAAAAATAATATTAAGGTATTCTAATTCAACATATAAGTTGTCACTTCTATGACTCGATTACATAGAGCTGCAACCCATTGGGTCTGCTTGCATACTTGACACATGATGACTAACTTTGATATCAATTGATGTGAATGCATGGGTTGAACTCACAATTAATTAAAAGCCGACTTGCAATTAGAGGGTGCCCAAAAAATTCATATACATACATCTAAGCTTGTTGTGGATGGACAATTGGATTCATAAGCATCTCTCTTGAGATTATAACTTTAGAACTATTTAGACGTGTCATGAACTACGTTGTATATCTAATCTTCTAATCTATAAAACTAATTTTTACCCTTTAAAAAAACTGCACTATCAACACTCAAACAAATTTTTTAATCTATTCTTTTACCTTCAGTTCTTCTTCCACTAAGAATAGGAAACTTAAAATAACAATGATTGTAGCCGTTGAAAGCCAAAATTGGTGTCTGAATTATACTGAACATAACTAGAGGAATTACATTTCAAATTTGAATACATCTCCTTTCTGATGTGTTACACATTATCACCATTGAAGTTGCCTAGTATCTTGACTAACTGAGGGAGGTTTATTTGAAAGTGAAGACACACTTTAATTTGAACTGTTTAAAAGCTGTTGAAAGGAAGGAGAAATGGACTTTGGAGAAAAGCAAACTATGGAGGCTTATTTGATAGTGGAGAGAAGAAGGGGTTGACATTTCTTGAGAGCATCCATTATACGACACGACAGCAGACATAAGATTGTTTGTGTAATTTTAACCATTTGTAGGTTTGGATCATAGTAAGATTTATCAGCCAGGAAAATTTAATGAATGGATCTACAAGAATCGATTATATACGAAAGAAAATTTTTGATGATATGACTATAATAAATTAGAGAATACGATATAACGTGATAATAACTCATTATTAATTGAGCTCCCTTTTTTTCTGATTTACAACAAATTGGATGCAAGCACCTTTACATTAGATTCATTTCCTAGAAGTAGGTATCCAATTTAACAGATGTTTCCTTGCCTTTTCCTTTTCATTTTCAGTGGATTCTGCATTTAGGTTTGTTTATTATTTTTACATTCTTCATCTACTTACCATCAATACAAAGTTGATATATCATCATTTGTCGGGTTGAGAATGGTAGATCCATTCTTTCAGGTGGACCCGGAACCTTATTAAGTGGGACCCGAATAAGAAGGAACAAATTACAGGTGTGTTGTTTGGCAATCCCCTAATTGGGTAATACCCAAGAACTATAACACATTCTTTTCTTTTGGTAAGCTTTTATCTGCAAGATAAGCAGAAAAATTATCCCCAATCTGTGTTCAGGTCATCTTTTTATTTTCTCTCTCATGTGATAATAACAAAAATAAAATAATTAAAGAGATGCTTTCATTTTTTTTTATTTTAATTAAAAACATGGAATCAGCTTATGTGTCATTTATAGTCCACTTTTTTTTCATTACTTAAGGAATCAAATGGATTTGGTCACTTATATTGGACCCTTTAATTTGTTCGAAATAGCTATATTATCTATTATTAATAGAAGTGCATTTTGTTTGCGGGCAACTTAGTATTCATAAACAGCCGAACCGACTTAGTTCTGGTCGCTCGTGAGATCACACGAGACCACTTTTATTATGAATTGTTGCACCTGGACACAACAACCCCAAATTACCGCTTAGAGTAGTCGTGTTCGAATTAAGAAAAAAGGCAATCCATGCAACATTATTTTGGTTCATTTTTTTTTCTTTGGCCAATTTAGCGTTGTGTTTATAAGAATCAACTATTATTATTATTATTATCATCTTCATCGTAATTATTAATGGCGATAAATTTTGGANGTGTTGTGTTTATAAGAATCAACTATTATTATTATTATTATTATCATCTTCATCGTAATTATTAATGGCGATAAATTTTGGACCCTTGAATTTTCTCCTTACTTATATTGGTATAGTAGCATTTAACCAAGTGTACTATTTCAAAGATAGCATATCAAGTTAAATGCTTGAGATGTATTTTTTCTTCTCAAAATATTATTCCAAACAAATTTTGCTTCATTCTCTCTCTACCTGAAACGTGGTGATTTTTAACTATTTATCCAAATCCAAAACACTTTTCCTCGTTCTCTCTCGAATTGTGTGCCACTAGTTCTCTCTCTCTCTCTCTCTCTCTCTCTCTCTCTCTCTCTCTCTCAATTTTATATCCATTCGAATTTATCTCCCCTTATTACTCAATCTTAATTTCTAGATATCCTATTTTAGCTCTCATTAATTCTGCCCTTATCCAATCCTGAACTGTTGACTCTCTCTTCCCATTTTTATCTCTTAATTTATCTTCATTTACGTTTACTTTTATTCAACAAATCTCATGCCTGTTTTCTTCTATCATTCAAACCATCTTAATGTTACCCTCTTTCTCTTTTTCCTCAGCCAAATCAAATCTCTCATTCTTTTGACCCAAAAGATTGGGAAAACATATTGCCAGAGTTGTTATGGTTGCTTTCGGTATATTTAGAAATTAAATGATTATGAAAGTAACTAAACAACTCTGGTCAATCTGTATCCCTTAACGAGAAATTCTTGAACACGTCAAAATCTTTTGATATTGACAGAATGTAGTTAGATGGCGGGAATTAGGATTAAATGATGTCTTCAAATTTTTGTTCTTGGCAGATTGGTGCTTAAAATCTGTCGAGGCATCCCCGACTGGTGTAACGTTACACCCTCATCGTTATCTAGTTGAACCAGAAGATTATATCAGAGACTTTTGGTAAGAAATTTAAACTTGAATTAAGAATCATCATTTTGATGCAACAGNTGCCACTAGTTCTCTCTCTCTCTCTCTCTCTCTCTCTCTCTCTCTCTCTCTCTCTCTCTCTNATCCAAATCCAAAACACTTTTCCTCGTTCTCTCTCGAATTGTGTACCACTAGTTCTCTCTCTCTCTCTCTCTCTCTCTCTCTCTCTCTCTCTCTCTCAATTTTATATCCATTCGAATTTATCTCCCCTTATTACTCAATCTTAATTTCTAGATATCCTATTTTAGCTCTCATTAATTCTGCCCTTATCCAATCCTGAACTGTTGACTCTCTCTTCCCATTTTTATCTCTTAATTTATCTTCATTTACGTTTACTTTTATTCAACAAATCTCATGCCTGTTTTCTTCTATCATTCAAACCATCTTAATGTTACCCTCTTTCTCTTTTTCCTCAGCCAAATCAAATCTCTCATTCTTTTGACCCAAAAGATTGGGAAAACATATTGCCAGAGTTGTTATGGTTGCTTTCGGTATATTTAGAAATTAAATGATTATGAAAGTAACTAAACAACTCTGGTCAATCTGTATCCCTTAACGAGAAATTCTTGAACACGTCAAAATCTTTTGATATTGACAGAATGTAGTTAGATGGCGGGAATTAGGATTAAATGATGTCTTCAAATTTTTGTTCTTGGCAGATTGGTGCTTAAAATCTGTCGAGGCATCCCCGACTGGTGTAACGTTACACCCTCATCGTTATCTAGTTGAACCAGAAGATTATATCAGACTTTTGGTAAGAAATTTAAACTTGAATTAAGAATCATCATTTTGATGCAACAGAAGTTTCTTAATGTAGAGTTAAGGTTGTTTTTCTTTGTGACAATGGCTGGTGCATTGATTATTTGTTTTCTTATTGCTATCCCACACCTCTTCATTGCAATGTGATATGGTTCGACAAATAGTGGGAAAATTATACCTTTNAAAGAAAATTTTTGATGATATGACTATAATAAATTAGAGAATACGATATAACGTGATAATAATGAGTGATTTACAACAAATTGGATGCAAGCACCTTTACATTAGATTCATTTCCTAGAAGTGGGTATCCAATTTAACAGATGTTTCCTTGCCTTTTCCTTTTCATTTTCAGTGGATTCNGTTTGACAACTCCTTGTAGTTAGGGTCATGAATAATTTATCTTTTATACTCTAGTCTTGATGTAGAAGACTCGTCTTTATTCAAATTAATAAGAGAATTAGTCGAAACCCATGTAAATTGACCCAGACATTACTTACCGTTGAAAAAAAAAAAATTTGAGGTTTTGCATATCTCAGTTATAATCAACAAGATGTGAAGAATAGGCAATTTCTAATTCTGCAAAAAATACATGAATTGACACATCTACCCCTTGGGGCATTGAGAAGTCAAAATAGGCTGTCTNGGTTTGACAGCTCCTTGTAGTTAGGGTCATGAATAATTTATCTTTTATACTCTAGTCTTGATGAAGAAGACTCGTCTTTATTCAAATTAATGAGAGAATTAGTCGAAGTCCATGTAAATTGACCCAGACATTACTGACTGTTGAAAAAAAAAAAATTGGGGGTTTGCATATCTCAGTTATAATCAACAAGATGTGAAGAATAGGCAATTTCTAATTCTGCAAAAAATACATGAATTGACACATCTACCCCTTGGGGCATTGAGAAGTCAAAATAGGCTGTCTATAGGTATATATATAGTATTTTCATCGAGCAATGTTATTAAGATATAATTTATGAACATAATTTGAGAATATAATGAGTTGTCGCCAATAATATGATAATGAATTCATTAATGTTATAATGAGACTCATCATTAAATACATTTCACTATCACATCATTAATGACAACTCATTATGTTCCTAAATTATGTCCCAATAGCATTAGTGATTTTCATCACCATTAGATTACATATTTATGAGACACACTTACCAAACAGTGATAAATGTGTTACATCATCTAGTCAGAGAAAAAAATGAGATACCATTGCTATTACTATTNTGGGCTGTCTATAAGGTATATATATAATATTTTCATCGAGCAATGTTATTGAGACATAATTTATGAACATAATTTGAGAATATAATGAGTTGTCGCCAATAATATGATAATGAATTCATTAATGTTGTAATGAGACTCATCATTAAATACATTTCACTATCGCATCATTAGTGACAATTCATTATGTTCTCAAATTATGTCCCAATAGCATTAGTTATTTTCATCACCATTAGATTACACATTTATGAGACACACTTACCAAACAGTGATAAATGTGTTACATCATCTAGTCAGAGAAAAAAATGAGATACCATTGCTATTACTATTTGCATATCGGTGAAATTAGTCAGTCAAATATCTTTGTCAGCATGTCATCCTAACTCCACTATGTTACTCCTATAAATACATTCACCAATTGTCTATCTAGATACCCCCTTACAACTCTTCTTTCATTCTCTCTCCAACGCTAGCCATGACAAGGGCTCATGAATCTGCACACGAGGTGAGCTTCGCCACCCCAAGAAGCTTCGCTACCGTGCTCAAATCCGACCTCAAGGAGACCTTCTTCCCCGACGATCCCTTCCACCAGTTCCGGGATGAGCCGTTGTCAAGCAGAACCAAGAAGGCCATTCAATATTTTGTTCCAATATTTGGGTGGTTGCCTAAGTACAATCTTCGTTTGTTCAAATATGATCTTCTTGCCGGAATCACCATTGCCAGCCTCGCGATTCCTCAGGGAATTAGCTACGCTAAGCTCGCTAACCTCCCTGCGATCATTGGACTATGTAAGTTTCTCATTCTCTGCTTATTTTACACAAAGACTCCCATTGTTGTGGAGAGCGTCAGATATGTACAATTTTATCTTTTCTTACAAAAAGATTGTTTTTGCGTCTTTTACTAATTTTGCTGATCTTATGTAATGGGTTGGTTGGTGGTGTTTTATTGAGAGGTACTTGTTCTTGTGAATTTGTTGCAGATTCAAGCTTTGTTCCACCTCTGGTTTACGCGGTTTTCGGAAGCTCAAAGCATCTTGCAGTTGGAACAGTGGCTGCATGTTCATTACTCATAGCAGCAACAATTGAAGAAAAAGTAACCCCAGCTGAGAATTTGCCATTGTATCTTAGTTTGGTCTTTACTGCTACTCTTTTCTCTGGTTTGCTGCAGACAGCTATGGGTGTACTAAGGTGAGAGAAGACGAGAGTTTTCGGCACACTTGTTGTATTTTGTTTCTTTTTAGAGGGTCTTGAAGCAGCTATGGTTGCTCTATTGTAACTTGGACTTCAATGGTTCGAGTCATGAAAATTATCTCTCCGATCTATATGCGAGCATAGATTAGATAGACTCTCCTCAAACCCCACAATAACGAGAGTCCCAACATGCATGGTTTATCTTAATTGTTCTAAGTATACGTAGTATTCTAAATCATTGTTGAATGTGTTAAGAAAGTTGATTATTATGCTATTATTTTGGCAGACTGGGAATTTTGGTAGATTTTTTATCACATTCGACAATCACCGGTTTCATGGGAGGGACAGCAACACTTATCTGCCTCCAACAATTGAAGGGCATGTTCGGACTGAAGCATTTTACAACCCACACTGATGTGGTCTCTGTTTTACGTGCAATTTTTAGCAACAGACATGAGGTTCACATAAACTCTCTCCTCTCTCTCTCTCTCTCTCTCTCTCTCTCTATATATATATATGTAATTAGACCCCTTGAATTATGCTTTCCATTTTCACATTGCCATGTAAACCATACGCTTCCTCACTTTGTACCTAAACTTTAGTTTGGCTTTAACTTTGTACCGATTTTTGACTTTTGTCCAGTTTTTCATAGCAAATTAGGTTAAAAATGTGGAATTCCATTTTCGCCTTCATTTGCAATGAAAAAAAGGACAAAAGCCGACGATTAGTCAATGTAAAACTCAAACTAATAATCGCAATGTGAGAATATACTTGGTATGAATGATGGAGTTTAGTGGGGTTTAAGCGTAATTTGCTCATTCCAAACATACTCACAAGGGGATTCGAATAGATCGAAGTCAAAAAGGCAGGGGAGATGAGTCTTTGCTAAAACTCTACTATATATATATATATATATATATATGTATATATATATGTATCTGCCCAGGCTTTTTGACTTCAGAAGAAAACATAGGAAAGAGAAAAAAAGATAAGTATTTTTTTTGGGTAGCCGCATCACATTCTTGAAGAAACTACGATACCTCTACCTTGACTTATTACTCTTCTATTCAAAAATAATTCACAAAAGGTTCACATGCCTATGCAAAATCTGGAATCCACCCACTTAAAAAGATCCGAATCTCCTATAATATAATTATTTTTTCTTGCTTGATTTTTAATGTATTGGCAGTGGCCCACTTATTTATTAAGTGGGTCCTTTCTAAATTCACAAAAGGTGATCTGCAGGTTGGAAAAAATTGAGAAAATTTGTATTTGAGTGATTCAATACATATATGGGTATGATTCAATACATTATAGAAGTGTTCTTACCAAAATTTTCTGATGAGTTGTTAATTTTTTTTACAGTGGAGATGGGAGAGTGCAGTGATCGGTATAACCTTTCTTGTTTTCCTCCAATTCACTAGATATGTGGTGAGTTATCTTTCTATATAAAAACACACACCTGTTCAAAAAGAAAAATGTCTCCCTCATTTATTTTGAAACTTAAACTAACATAAAAAAACGTGTGTTTTGTAGAAGAAAAAGAGACCAAACCTTTTCTGGTTATCAGCTATTGCTCCAATGATGACAGTCATTATCGGTTGCCTCTTTGCTTACTTTGCCCATGCAGAGAAACATGGAATCCAAATTGTGAGTCCCTCTTTATTATCATTATTGTCTACAAGCGTCGATATTGTCATGGGTTAGTTTAATTGTCAACAAAAGAAGATAAATTCTAAATCCGTATATCCCTAGTCTAAATCTCATGGCGCATTAGACCAGGATTGATTGATGTAAGTAGCTATTCAAAGTTTAAATCAGAATGATTTCCCACTATTAAAAAATTTGACTGTATAGCAATGGAATCTTAGGTATGCCACATGGGTATGTTAGGAAGTCTATTTGGTCTTTTGGGTTGAAGTTTACCCAATAGTAGGCATTTTTGTCTTCTTGGAAGCCGTAGGTTGCTTTATAGTTTGCAAGGGGAACAGGGAAAGGGAGAAAAGAACACTGACCCTATGTTGAGAGTATACAAGTGAAGTAAGTTTTGGCATCAATTCATTGAGGTGACAGAGAAAGATAATGAAATTAGATACTGACAGACAAAAAGTTTATGCTATTCGGAAACTGGCCCCTGGCCAATACACTAGTTCAAAAGTCTATTGACCCATTGGGCCATGTTTNAAAGAAAAAAGTTTATGCTATTCGGAATCTGGCCCCTGGCCAATACACTAGTTCAAAAGTCTATTGACCCATTGGGCCATGTTTCGGGCCTGGCTGCCATGTGCATCCCAGTCATTTAGCCCGGAAAATAGGGTCATGGCCCAACTCAGTTCGATGAACTGACCCTGTTTAAGGCTCAAGAGGCGGTCCTCTGAGAAGGCCTGTGGCCCGACCAATGGTCCACAAGCAACACTCTTAAATTAGTTGTAAAGAGAAAGCACTTAGCAAAACATTTGGGCTTCTATCAATGTTGTTTTATCCTTCATATGTCAACTATTCATATTTTTCCCACAATAGATCGTGTTTTTCGTAGGAACTGGATTCTAATAAATCAAACCAAACTCAACTAAATTAAGCCTTATATCCTAATTGTTTTGAGTCGGCTATATGAGTCCGTGTTTACCATTCATTTCAGTCATGCGCTATACATGCATTTAAACCTAATATTAGCACATATATCATTATTTATACTCATCATAATGAATCCGATCAAATTTTACGTTAGTTGTCGGCTATTTAAACACTGCACTCATCCTTGGGCTGGATAAATCTAATAAATCTTTCAAATATCCAAGTCTCACTTCTTTTGGGATTTTTATATAACACAGGTGGGTGACCTCAAGAAAGGATTGAATCCTCTCTCCATTCAACATTTGAACTTTGATCCTAAGTACATATCAGCACCTATAAAAGCAGGGCTCATCACAGCAATGGTGGCTCTAGCTGTAAGAACACTACTCTCCTATGCTTCTCTCTTTACATTCACTTCATATTAATTTCCAGTTCTCCTCTTTTTTTTTTTGTTATTTGCAATTCATTTGCTGAACCTTTTTGTAAATAAAACTTGTTTGCAGGAAGGAATAGCCATTGGAAGGAGTTTTGCCATCATGAGAAATGAACAGATTGATGGAAACAAGGAGATGATAGCTTTTGGTCTCATGAACATTCTTGGGTCTTTCACTTCATGCTACTTGACTACCGGTAATTATTTACTTGGGAAACATTGCAGCTTAATCTTATCAACATATATGTTAATTAGGGTTGCCAACGAATCAAACCGAGATGAGTACTTCAGGGCTCGACTCGTTCATATCTCACAATGAATTTTAAAAACCTTGTTCAAATTCGGCTCAACAATATTTTGTCCAAGTTCAAGCTTGACTTGACGTGACTGAATAAACAATCAATTCAACCTCGTATTTGTGCTTAAATTGTAGTTCATGTTCGTGTTCAAGATTAAACTCGGCTTCTTTATACATATATAATATGTAATATATACAAACTAACTAAATTCAACTCAACTAAATAAAACATTGTCTCAATACTTCAATGTATGATATATACCAATTATATCTTGTAAATTACACACCTACACATACACACCTACACACACACACACACACACACACATATATATATATTCACAAGCCGAACAATCTTGTATTGTTTGGGCTGGTTTATTTATTAAACAGGATACAAAATTGAGTTCGAGCCCATTTGATAAATGAACAAGCTTGAACGTGTTTCTATCTAACCGATCTAAACTGTTGATGAAACACAACCCTATCATTAATATTCATTTAGCTTTTTTCTGATGTAGATGTTGTTTGATTTGGCAGGGCCATTTTCGAAAACTGCAGTGAATTTCAATGCTGGTTGTAAAACACCCATGGCTAATGTGGTTATGGCAATTTGCATGATGCTGACCCTCCTGTTCTTGGCTCCTCTGTTTAGTTACACACCTCTTGTAGCTCTTTCTGCCATTATTATGTCTGCAATGCTTGGGCTGATTGAGTATGACAAGGCTTATCACCTCTACAAGACTGACAAGTTCGATTTCTGCATTTGTATGGTTGCATTCTTCGGTGTTGCCTTCATAAGCATGGATGTTGGCCTCATGATGTCGGTAAGTGCTTACTTTGGATATAATTCTTGATACCTACCTTATCTGGGTGTTCATCGAAACGAGCTTGTCGAGTTTCAGTATATTCCAAGTTCGTCGTAGTTGTGACTAGCGGAGCTTGATTGGAATCCAGTTCAACTAGGTCTTACATTCTTGCTCAAACTAGCTCACCCCGACAGAAACAATGATTGAATCAAACTTAGATATGATGTTTAATGTTAAATATCTCTTCTTTAATGAAAATTTTCGAATTTCAGGTCGGACTTGCCCTACTCAGAGCACTGCTATATGTAGCCAGGCCTGCTACTTGCAAGCTTGCAAACATACCAGATNTGTATTGTTTGGGCTGGTTTATTTATTAAACAGGATACAAAATTGAGTTCGAGCCCATTTGATAAATGAACAAGCTTGAACGTGTTTCTGTCTAACCGATCTAAACTGTTGATGAAACACAACCCTATCATTAATATTCATTTAGCTTTTTTCTGATGTAGATGTTGTTTGATTTGGCAGGGCCATTTTCGAAAACTGCAGTGAATTTCAATGCTGGTTGTAAAACACCCATGGCTAATGTGGTTATGGCAATTTGCATGATGCTGACCCTCCTGTTCTTGGCTCCTCTGTTTAGTTACACACCTCTTGTAGCTCTTTCTGCCATTATTATGTCTGCAATGCTTGGGCTGATTGAGTATGACAAGGCTTATCACCTCTACAAGACTGACAAGTTCGATTTCTGCATTTGTATGGTTGCATTCTTCGGTGTTGCCTTCATAAGCATGGATGTTGGCCTCATGATGTCGGTAAGTGCTTACTTTGGATATAATTCTTGATACCTACCTTATCTGGGTGTTCATCGAAACGAGCTTGTCGAGTTTCAGTATATTCCAAGTTCGTCGTAGTTGTGACTAGCGGAGCTTGATTGGAATCCAGTTCAACTAGGTCTTACATTCTTGCTCAAACTAGCTCACCCCGACAGAAACAATGATTGAATCAAACTTAGATATGATGTTTAATGTTAAATATCTCTTCTTTAATGAAAATTTTCGAATTTCAGGTCGGACTTGCCCTACTCAGAGCACTGCTATATGTAGCCAGGCCTGCTACTTGCAAGCTTGCAAACATACCGGATTCGACATTGTATCGGGACATCGAGCAGTATCCTGGTTCAACAGGAATTCCAGGGATTCTTATTCTACAACTAGGTTCCCCCATATACTTTGCAAATTGCAGCTACATCAGAGAAAGGTAATGCTTCCTTCTTTATAAATCTTTTTCTTTTCCCAATTTTTGGCTTGGTTCAAGGTGGTGATTTCAGTCATCGACTCGGAGGCCAACATCGATCAAGGTGTCATCTTAGAATAATATCCAACAATACACACGAGACGATACATAAAAAAGAAAATGACTCGACCGAGTCAATGACCATGGCTAAGATGACTCCAGACATCCCTCAGTTAATCACGAGTTGAATGAAATACATAGTCTACACAGAACTAGGAAGAATGCTAGTAAGGGAAGGTGTTGACTGTTGAGTTGGATATAACTAGGGCGACTCTTTGAACCATGTTTTTTGGTGCTTTGAACATGCTTTATATGTGTTGACATAAGTGCTGATTTCTGTATTACTTATTTATTTTTATTGGTTGGATGAAATTCTATTAGGATTGTGAGATGGGTCAGAGATGAAAAGGCTATTGCAGATGCAAAAGGGAATGATATTGAGTACATATTGCTGGATTTTGGAGGCAAGGAATATATTCAGTCCATGTCCAGTAAACTTGTTAAATTACACTGTTACAACAGATAGAAATTGAGAGAATGTTTTATTATTCAACAGGTGTTACAGCGATCGATATAACCGGTGTAGAAACCCTATCTGAAGTCCAAAGAAACATGGAAGCACAAGGGATCAAGGTGAAACACCTGCTCACCAGACTATTATGGCTCTGCTCATTCGTTTGCAAAAACTGTTTGGGATCGGTTCAAGATAATGTCGAGCTTAAAACATCTTATTCAAGCTAGGCGCGTAAATTTTTTGTCCAAATTATTTCTCTAATCAGCTCGTCTGATTAATCAAACTGAGCTTGAGCTTTTATTTGAGCAGATCCCCTTGCCCTTCATGAATAGCTCGGTTTATTTTCGCATATATCAAAGCTTGAACAATGTTCTAATCTTGGTCATATTTTGCAGGTAATTCTGATAAACCCTAGGCTTAAGGTCATGGAGAAGTTAATCGTCACAAAATTCATTGACAAAATTGGGAAGGAATCAGTGTTCTTATCAATTGAAGATGCAATAGAGGCATGCAGGTTTTCACTCAGAATTTCAAAGGAAACTAATGGGGGAGACTTTGTTGATGCATAAGGGGCAGACAGATGATAAAGGAACTAAGAAGTTATAAATCAAATTGTAAATCTGTTGAGGCATTTTAGATTGGTATAAAAGGATGATCAAATCATCAATCCAAAGGTCAAGTTCATGTGATGTGCTGCTATATATTGTTAAAAATAAAGATGTATCAATTTTCATTTGAGCACATCTGTTTGCAACCACATTCTTATGTCCACCAGGGTTATTTGTATGCTGCAATGTGAAAATGTATGTTATAATATAACAGCATGCTAAAACAGGCATTGATTCCTGCTTTTTATTTACTTTTAAAACGAGCAAAGGGCGGCGTAAGCACTTTTTGTTTCAATACTATTTCATGTACCATCTAAACCATGAGTTTCATATGTGACTCAACCAAGTCATCCAAAACATCTCCAAGTCATCCGCAAGTCATTTTAGTCATTATCAACCAAGTGACGGGTATCGTTTCGCAATAGCCTAATGTGGCTTCGTCTTCATCTTTAAAGTATTTTGTGCATTTCCCTTGATAATCCTAATATAACCGATAGTATGCCCTTGAACCATGATTAATTGGTTATTAGGTCGGACCAGCCTGACCCACTAGTGAAGTGGGTTGGCCCTCTAAATGGATAGGACCCTTTATTCTCCAATTTTCAATGAGTTTTTGATTGTGGGTATAATTTTTTTAACTTATTTAAGGAAAAGTGTATGAATAAATTGTGTACTCTATTAAGATCAATTTTAATAAAACATATTGTGTTTATGTACAAAATTCAAATGAAATTAAAATTTTTTTATCTAAATACTATCCCTTAAATTATGCAATCTTAATTTCAGTTATATATCTAATCAAATATATAAAAATTTCATTCGACTCTCTCACTATCTCTCCCATATTTTCTCTCCATCTCTCTGTCCTCATTATTTTTCTCATATCTCCCCTATTTTCTCTCTCTATCTATCATTGATAATTTATTTTCTTTTCAAATATGTAAAGATTTGATTTATTTTTTCATCTCTCACTTCCCTTTTTTTTTTTTCTCTCTCTATATCTATATATCAACATTACAATAACACAATTACATTAATCAATTGCATCAATTAATTACGATTATCTTATAATACATCAAACAGTTACTCATGCATTCTAATAAATCAAACAGTTATACCAAATAATTACACAAAATTATGATATTAACCCAATTTGTCATTAAGTTGTTTACATAAACTAAATAGTTGCACCATTTAGTATCACAATATCGTTACACCAATTATATATAGCAAATTAAGTATAATGATAAAGTTTTTTGTGTAATAATAAACCCAATTTGGTGTATATAATTTGTGTAACTATGTCGTGATATTACATGGTATAACTCTTTAATTTATGTAAATAACTGAATGATAAATTGGGTTGGTGTTGTAATTTCGTATAGTTGTTTAGTGTAATTATTTGTTTATTATAACACGTGAATAACTGTTTAGTATATTATAGGATAATTGTAATTAATTGGTGTAACTGATTAGTGTAATTGTGTTATTGTAACGTTGATATAAAGAGAGAGAGAGAGAAAACAGGGGAGAAAGATGAAAAAATTAAATCAAATCTTTACATATTTAAAAAAAATTATCAATGTGAGAGAAATAGAAAGAAAATATGGAAGAGTGTAATGGAGAGAGAAAAGGAGAGAGAGTAGGGAATAATAAATAGTCTTTTTTCAAAAAAAATGTATTTAGAGACAAATAAGTTTTTTTAATGTAGTTTAGCTCAAATTAGGCCTAGTAATCGTGTCAAGTGGAACGGTTTCGTGTTGGATGGAATTAGTTTGTGTCAAAAAACCTCTATCTATACCCTATTCGTTTATATAAACGAGTCCAACTATCACACTCATACACGAATCGTTTATTAGACGGGTTATCTGATACAATTCGTGTGTCACCCGCTAAATAAGAAAATACGTTAGATAATTTTGAGTCCACATGAACAATCATTAACTCGCAACGCATTACACATGTTTGACCTGTTTACTATAACAATAAATCATGACTGAGCAAAAAAATAAAGACAAAAAATAAACATTAAATGACTATTAAATTTGAAAGATTTCGAGTGATAGGAGGTGTGAGATGAGACAGAGGCTGAGAGAGTCAATTTATTTTTTAAAAATTTATTATACTACTGTTAACAGGTTAAACGGGTTGAACGAGTATATGGGTGAAACACGAAACTGATTTATTTATTTTANAGGGTTATTTGAATGCTGCAATGTGAAAATGTATGTTATAATATAACAGCAAGCTAAAACAGGCATTGATTCCTGCTTTTTATTTACTTTTAAAACGAGCAAAGGGCGGCGTAAGCACTTTTTGTTTCAATACCATTTCATGTACCATCTAAACCATGAGTTTCATATGCGACTCAACCAAGTCATCCAAAACATCTCCAAGTCATCCGCAAGTCATTTTAGTCATNACCAGGGTTATTTGTATGCTGCAATGTGAAAATGTATGTTATAATATAACAGCATGCTAAAACAGGCATTGATTCCTGCTTTTTATTTACTTTTAAAACGAGCAAAGGGCGGCGTAAGCACTTTTTGTTTCAATACTATTTCATGTACCATCTAAACCATGAGTTTCATATGTGACTCAACCAAGTCATCCAAAACATCTCCAAGTCATCCGCAAGTCATTTTAGTCATTATCAACCAAGTGACGGGTATCGTTTCGCAATAGCCTAATGTGGCTTCGTCTTCATCTTTAAAGTATTTTGTGCATTTCCCTTGATAATCCTAATATAACCGATAGTATGGCCTTGAACCATGATTAATTGGTTATTAGGTCGGACCAGCCTGACCCACTAGTGAAGTGGGTTGGCCCTCTAAATGGATAGGACCCTTTATTCTCCAATTTTCAATGAGTTTTAGATTGTGGGTATAATTTTTTTAACTTATTTAAGGAAAAGTGTATGAATAAATTGTGTACTCTATTAAGATCAATTTTAATAAAACATATTGTGTTNGGCCTTGAACCATGATTAATTGGTTATTAGGTCGGACCAGCCTGACCCACTAGTGAAGTGGGTTGGCCCTCTAAATGGACAGGACCCTTTATTCTCCAATTTTCAATGAGTTTTTGATTGTGGGTATAATTTTTTAAACTTATTTAAAGAAAAATGTATGAATAAATTGTGTACTCTATTAAGATCAATTTTAATAAAACATATTGTGTTTATGTACAAAATTCAAATGAAATTAAAATTTTTTTATCTAAATACTATCCCTTAAATTATGCAATCTTAATTTCAGTTATATATCTAATCAAATATATAAAAATTTCATTCGACTCTCTCACTATCTCTCCCATATTTTATCTACATCTCTCTGTCCTCATTATTTTTCTCATATCTCCCCTATTTTCTCTCTCTATCTATCATTGATAATTTATTTTCTTTTCAAATATGTAAAGATTTGATTTATTTTTTCATCTCTCACTTCCCTTTTTTTTTTTTCTCTCTCTATATCTATATATCAACATTACAATAACACAATTACATTAATCAATTGCATCAATTAATTACGATTATCTTATAATACATCAAACAGTTACTCATGCATTCTAATAAATCAAACAGTTATACCAAATAATTACACAAAATTATGATATTAACCCAATTTGTCATTAAGTTGTTTACATAAACTAAATAGTTGCACCATTTAGTATCACAATATCGTTACACCAATTATATATAGCAAATTAAGTATAATGATAAAGTTTTTTGTGTAATAATAAACTCAATTTGGTGTATATAATTTGTGTAACTATGTCGTGATATTACATGGTATAACTCTTTAATTNTATTTTTTTTCTCTCTCTATATATATATATCAACATTACAATAACACAATTACATTAATCAATTGCATCAATTAATTACGATTATCTTATAATACATCAAACAGTTACTCATGCATTCTAATAAATCAAACAGTTATACCAAATAATTACACAAAATTATGATATTAACCCAATTTGTCATTAAGTTGTTTACATAAACTAAATAGTTGCACCATTTAGTATCACAATATCGTTACACCAATTATATATAGCAAATTAAGTATAATGATAAAGTTTTTTGTGTAATAATAAACCCAATTTGGTGTATATAATTTGTGTAACTATGTCGTGATATTACATGGTATAACTCTTTAATTTATGTAAATAACTGAATGATAAATTGGGTTGGTGTTGTAATTTCGTATAGTTGTTTAGTGTAATTATTTGTTTATTATAACACGTGAATAACTGTTTAGTATATTATAGGATAATTGTAATTAATTGGTGTAACTGATTAGTGTAATTGTGTTATTGTAACGTTGATATAAAGAGAGAGAGAGAGAAAACAGGGGAGAAAGATGAAAAAATTAAATCAAATCTTTACATATTTAAAAAAAATTATCAATGTGAGAGAAATNCTCAATTTGGTGTATATAATTTGTGTAACTATGTCGTGATATTACATGGTATAACTCTTTGATTTATGTAAATAACTGAATGATAAATTGGGTTGGTGTTGTAATTTCGTATATTTGTTTAGTGTAATTATTAGTTTATTATAACACGTGAATAACTGTTTAGTATATTATAAGATAATTGTAATTAATTGGTGTAACTGATTAGTGTAATTGTGTTATTGTAACGTTGATATAAAGAGAGAGAGAGAGAAAAAAAAAACAGGGGAGAAAGATGAAAAAATTAAATCAAATCTTTACATATTTAAAAAAAATTATCAATGTGAGAGAAATAGAAAGAAAATATGGAAGAGTGTAATGGAGAGAGAAAAGGAGAGAGAGTAGGGAATAATAAATAGTCTTTTTTCAAAAAAAATGTATTTAGAGACAAATAAGTTTTTTTAATGTAGTTTAGCTCAAATTAGGCCTAGTAATCGTGTCAAGTGGAACGGTTTCGTGTTGGATGGAATTAGTTTGTGTCAAAAAACCTCTATCTATACCCTATTCGTTTATATAAACGAGTCCAACTATCACACTCATACACGAATCGTTTATTAGACGGGTTATCTGATACAATTCGTGTGTCACCCGCTAAATAAGAAAATACGTTAGATAATTTTGAGTCC